TTATTTGAGCTTATGGTTCCAGGGGAATTACAGTCCATCATGGCAGGGAAGCATGGTGGCTAGAGGTAGCTGGAGCAGGAGCAGAAGCTAAGCTCTCAGACTGCAAGCAGGCACAGGGAGCAAGAGAGCAACTCAAGATCTGGCAAGGCTTAAGAACTCGCTAAGCTCACCCCCAGTGATGTGCTTCCTTCAGGATAGCCATGCCTTCTAAGATTTCCCAAAACAATGGCACCATCTGGGCTACTAAATGTCCAAATACTTGGAGATTATGGGGGAATTTTCATTAGGGCTGGTGGGGGAAAGCACCAGCAGCATGGATCACGCAGTGGATAGTGACATTTGTAAGGAGGGTGAGGCCACCTAAGCAGACAATGACAGTGGCGGAAATCACAGGATGACAGTCCTCTTGGTGTTATAGAGTGGTACACCTGCTTGAGCGTTGGGGTCTGTCATGGTCACGTGAGTATAGATATGCTTTAAGATCATGGAATATTTATAGTAAATTTTTCAAAGCCTAGGAGTAGTATACCAGGGGCAGAAGTTTCAGCAAACAGCTGTAGAGGCTGTTGGGCTGTTTCTTTGCACAATAAAAGATCAAAATTCATATTTTTCTGAGGAGATTCCTGGCTGGGGATTTACTTGGTGGCCTTTATAAAGGTACCATGAACCTACAGGGTCATCAGCTCAAGCCTTGTGAGCAAAATCCAATGTGGCCTGACCCTTGCCCCATGTTGACTCACTCAGTGAATTCCCCATATCTTTGTTCTCACTGTGCAAAGCCTCCCCAGTCCCTCATGGTGTGGTCTCAGTGATGGTTAGCCTCACCTTTAAGGTGATTGGCTATGGTGGCATTCATGGAGCCCAATGATTGGTACCTATTTCCTATAAAGCCTGCTACACTTCCTAATAAACTTTAGATCTGCATCGTAGAACCTTCTCTCCCATGTCTGCATGTTGTCCAACTGACACCATTGCCTCACCCCTGATCCCCGAGGACCCCCCATATTGCAGTACCTGGCACCCAATGTGGGGCTCCCCAGATCAGCATGTCTGGCAAGGTGAGTGCTCTCTGGTATGGGGTGACTTCCATTCACCTTTCAGTAGCCTCAGGTGACCGCTCGAAAGCTCTTCTCAGGAGTAGGCATATAAAATTTTCAACTGCAGAGGTGGAGCATGTGATCCAATAGGTCTTACTGTAGCCCTCTGGGAATCGGAAAGTCATGTCTGTCTGGGGCTGGATCATCTATGCTGCCCACAGAGCAGAGGTCCAAGAAGGCCACTCCTTAAGTGCTACCTTCTTCCCCATAATCACTTCTATCATGGCCTCACTGTGAGGGATCCCTCCTGACTCTAGTGATTGTGGCAAGATACTGATAAAAAAGAGATAGACTCCCACATGGGGGCTGAGGGGAAGGAGGTGGGAGTGTACCCTGCCCTGCTTCATAAAGAGCCAGAATCCGCCCAAGGACTGGGGGGGTGAGGGGCCAACATTGCGACAACCAAGAAGTTCTTAAGGTTATGCTACATGAACAAAGGGAACCTCTATAGGCCCAACCATAGACAAAGTAAAACTGCTGGCTCCATCCACACCAGTTACAATAGGCCCTCTCTATCTCTCTCTGCCCAAATATTTGCCTCCTTCTACACCCCCTCTCGCCACCCCCCTGGAGATGACACCACCCTCCCAGGACTTTCTTTTACCCTTAGAGACAAGAGTTATGCAATTTGGGAGTCTTTTAGATAGACCCACTGAAGGTGTACTCCAATTGTCTCACCCTGTGTCCGCAAGGAAGAAGGAAGAAGCCAGAGCAGTCTACATCCCTATTCCCTATTGGCAATTTGGAGGATGGCGTGATAAGAATAGGAGGTAGGAATTGGCTAGGCAGTTAGGGTAAAAAGACCCCTAAGAAATGTTTCTTGGCTAGAGTTATGCAATTTGGGAGTCTTTTAGAAAGAACCACTGAAGGGGTACTCCAGTTGCCTCACCCTGAATCCCTGTTCAGCAAGGAAGAAGCCAGAGCAGTCTACATCCCTATTCCCTATTGGCAATTTGGAGGATGGCGTGATAAGAATAGGAGGTAGGAATTGGCTAGGCAGTTAGGGTAAAAAGACCCCTAAGAAATGTAGCCAGTTTCTTGGCTAAAAGTCAAAATGTCCTTGAGCCTCTTCCCAACATACTCTGTTCCAAAGGCCAAAAATGTCAAAAGTATTTGGGAGCTTGTATCTAATCCTTCAAAGATTTTAGAGTTACCTCTTCAGAGGGGGGGGAATGTTGGAGGGGAGGGAGTAGTCATGGATTTGATCAAAACACCTTATATTCATGTATGAAATTCTCAGTAAAGCTTTTGTAAAAATTAAAACAAAACAACAACAAAAAAAACCACTTTAGCCTGAAACTTCTAGATTTGATACAAAACCATCAAAATCCTGTAGGACAATAGAGCATCATATTTGTGGTTATTTGTTTACTTTGTTTATTTTTGGGTAAAGTATTTATATGTTAGACAAGGTGCCTCCAAGTTAACATACAACTTTACAAAATCTGGGCTTTTATGCAATAAGAGACAATGAGTTCAACTAAGCCTGGTCCTCTAAAATACTTCTGGGAGGCATTTTTGAATAATTTCCACATAGAAAAAGAATCCCTTTGGATGTTATTTTCAAGTTCTAGATAATATTTCTGAGCATGGGCAGGGCTGAGTAATTTCTTCAGATTTTACAGATAATTTTAGTGAACCTGAATCCCTCCACCCCTCCCCCCAACACCCTGCTGAATTGAGCTAAGTTGCAGAACACTGAGGAGACTTGGGAACGGGGACTTTTTGATGATTTCAACCTTGTTCTTACATGTAGGTCTGAGCTTGGTTTTTCCAGTGAGTTGTTACATCTTTTAATAACATAAACATTTGTAAACCACTCGAAATTAAGAAGTACTTGAACTCCGTCTTTTGTTTTCCTCGTGACTAACGGGCACCGCCTGGTTCATTAGGCACTTGGTGCCTTTGGCTCTGACACAAAGACAGTGGAACCCCAGATTGCACAAATAGAAATCTGCTTCTTTACAATTTGTGGTAGCTGTTTTCCCGGTGTGATTTCTTCCTCCGCATGGGGGTATTTACTTTGCTGCTGGTATTTTGGGCTGTAGCTGTTTCTGAGCTTGCAGTTGTTAATGATTCTCTCTCTCTGAAACAGTAGCACGGAGCTCTTAAGGTACTAAAGAAAATCCAGTTCTCTGCAAATGGCTTTTCGTTCAACTTCAAGTGACTGAATGTGGATCTGACCCCACCATTTTCCTTTCCCAACAGTTGATCTTCCTTTTCCCGGAGAACACTCCAGGGCTTTGTGTGGAATAAATGAAAAGAAGCAACGTGGCCTCTATTAGATGGTAGTGGTGAGAAGCCTCTCCCAGAGAGCAGAAAACAGATGCAGCCAATCACATGACTTATGCATCATTCACACTGGATGGAGGAACACCATTTTGAGCTTAGGAAAAAAAAAGGGTCTGGGTTTTGCTCCATTAAAAAGACAACAACAGCAACAAAACTTAAATTATAGGCACTCTGGAGAACACCGCATATGGATTGCCTCATTGGACCCAACCATTCTTTTAAAGTAGATCCTGTTCTCAGTTCACAGTTGAAGAAACCTAGCAAGGTGCAGAGAGGTTAAACGCAGTGACCAAAGTTGCCAGCAAGGACAGCTAGTTAGAGGCAGGGGAAGTCTGAACCCAGGCCATGTGACCGCAGGCCTGCTCCTCTGAAGGCTGGCTGAGATCACCTTCCCTGAATCTGCTGCAATAGAGAGAAGGCACAGAACGGGAGCACAAATTACCTTTTCTAGCTCCAGATCCGGGATTAACTGTCTTCACAAATTGGGACAAATCACCCTGCCTTTTTGAACTTCCGATTCCTAGTGTAAGATGGAGGTTAGAAACTACTTGGATTGGACAGCCTCTAGGGTTACTTCTAACTCTAAAGCTCCAGATCCGGGATTAACTGTCTTCACAAATTGGGACAAATCATCCTGCCTTTTTGAACTTCCGATTCCTAGTGTAAGATGGAGGTTAGAAACTGCTTGGATTGGACAGCCTCTAGGGTTACTTCTAACTCTAAAGCCATCTGCATCTATAATTGCTTCCTGACCTTAGATAATGTATACATTCCAACACACACACACACACACACACACACACACACACACACACACACTGCTTCCCAAGTCAAAAACTAAGGATTCGCCACAGTTTGATGCTAAGCCCCAAACCCTACTGAATCCTATTATTTACAGCATCCTCTTAGGAATAAATAGCACAGATTGAAAGGAAGACAGGAAGAGAGGAAAGAAAATGTTGCCAATGCATATGATTTTATAAAATGTTAATGTCAAAAAAGAAAAGAACTAAAAACAAATGTTGCTCTGTCTTTAAGTCTTCTGAAATGTTACTTTGACAACTTAGTTTTGGCTCTTTAGATATAAGGGGTTTCCATTTGGAAGAAGAGAAGGGTACCCTCCTCATCATCATATATTTTGAAATTTCTTTTTATAAGGAGAAAATGTCCAACATATACCACAAACACCTAATAGAAGGTAGCCAGGACATTTTAAGGGACTGTCACCTATAACAAGGAAAATCACAGGTGCACGGATTTAGGATATATTCTGCTCCTAATCCATTCTTCTTCCTTTCCCGTTGCCCTAACACAAGTTGCCACAGCCTGTAAAATGTTAGTGAGATGTTACACTTGAGACCTGCACAGTACAAACCATGAAATGTGTCTGGAAAAGATCGCATTGTTTTTAGTTGCTGCAGCAATGGATGTATCAGGTTGAGGGGAGATATTTGCAGAACAGAACTGGAAATGCTAAAAACATTGTCTCACTCCAGGAGACAGAGGGGAGGGAGGGAGGGGGAGAGGGAAAGAGGGAGGGGGAGAGAGAGGAAGAGAGATTGAGAGATTTCTGTCTTTCAGCTGCAGTAGATTTGTTATCAAAACGAGGGAGTATGCAGGGTGCTAACTAGGGTCAGCTGAGAACTCCACGTGGAAGAGACGAGTTACAAACAGTGTGGAACGGAGGGCAGCAAGGACTTGTCTCCGACATCCAGCAGTGGAGAATGGCTGGGGACTCGGAGTCGGTTCTGGAAGCAGCCTCCTTTCTGTGAGCAAGAGCCCAGCAGACGCCATGAGAGCTGTTTCAGGGGAGCGAGGCTGTGTTTAACACATATGTTTCCCATTGTTAGCTGGAGACAGCCGGGGAGCAGGGAGTGAGCCTGACAAAGCAGGATTGAAGGGCAGGCAGAGAGAAGACCAGGAATGCTGTTCAGGAAATTCTTCAGGCATGGGCAGGGACTTGGCTGCAGATCTGCCGCTGGAAAATCTGAGTGGGGCAGCTCCTGAGCTCAGGCAGGGCCTGCTCACACTGGGCGGGCTGAGTGGCCGCCTCCTTCAGCGTCTCTCAGTGCCTTAGGACCACCCGGACCTTCAACAGCCACTTTGTGAAGCAGACCAGAGAGGTAGGGGATGTGCAGTTGGGTTTCCAGCCTCTCTTCCTGAACCCTGTCTGCTGATTGTTTACACACACTTGAGTGTGGGATGTGTGCGCTGGCGTGCGTGTGTTGATTAACAAGTTTCAGTGGGACTAGTTGGGCATGCGGAGTGAGGTTCTCAGCTTTGTTTTCCTGGTCCCTGAGCGTCCGCGAGGCACAGGAACTTTGGAAAGTTAGCACTCCACAGCTAACAGGGTTGTGGAAGGAAAAGTGACTGGATTTCTTCGGTTGTCACTCTGCTCCAGCCCTCTGGAACTTTCCCTTTCTGCCTCGCAGGTCGCTTCATTGGCAGCAGAAATAATCTTTGATGAGATTGGCCGTGTTCTTTTGTTTCATGGGAGTTTTAAGACGAGTATTCCAAGCAGAAAATGACTCTTTTTTGGAGGGAATCAGAATTTGAAGTTTGTGTTAGGGGAGACACATTTTTAAGAACAGATAGGTGAGCAAGGGCTCATGGTGTCTTATTTCAATAGGCAGCTACAGCAGTTAAAACTTTCTTATGGGAGATCTGAATAACAGTTACATATTTGCCTAGGAATAGTCTGGATTTTAATTGTGCTTTTGTAATCATCTCCAATTTTTCTGAGTGGAAGATATAATTTGTACTTAGTTCAAGGCCAGCTTGGTCTACATAGTGAGTTCCAGTACAGCTGGGGCTACAGAGAGACCCTGTCTCAAAAAGACCAAAACAAAAAAAACAAACAAAAAACCACACTTATCTAGTTCATAAAAGATAATAGAGCTGTAGCAGCAAACAGTAGCTTATTCAGAGAAGTCATTGATAAAGATAAAGATAAATGGTGTGAATGTCTTTTTGACCAATGGGCTTTGTTCTCATCTGACTGAAAACAACACAATGTTGAATAACTTTGAGTAGACTTTCAGTTTTATTTCTTTACATATATAAGCCGTATTATAATACAGGGACTTCTCCCCTCCTACCAAAGTTATATATTTTTTTCTCTATATGGTATTTGGAAGAGAAGCAATATGATGTCATTGCCTTATTTATTTATCATTTGTATGAGTGTTATGATGCCTACATGTATGTAAGCATACTCATGTGGTACAATGCCGACCGAGGTCGGAAGACATCGTTGGATCCCCTGGACCTGGAGTTATGGGTATTTAGATTAACTGCCATGTGGGTACTGGGAACCAAACCTGGGTCTTCAGCAAGAACAGCCAGAGCTCTTAACCACTGAGTCATCTCTCCAGCCCCCAGCCCCGAGGGTTGTAGTCTTTCAGAGCTTGGCTCAGCTCAGATGAAGCAGGTCTAAACCTCCTCCTGCTGTAGGACTACTTACTGAACAACAGAGGAGCTTTCCAAAGGGGCCCTGGCCAAGCATATGCTTGGGGAAGCAGATGACTGTGTGGGTCCTTGCAGACTTGGTTAGTAGCAGAGAACCACTGAACCTCTTACAGTGGGTCTCTTTGAAAACAGGTAGAAGTTTAAGTCAGAGTCCTGAAACTTCTTAACAGGTAGATGGATGTGCTTGTTTAGGTCAAGGGATGAATAAAGTGTGGAGGCTGGAATTTCGCACTCCTTTCCCAGCAGTGGACCTAGGGCAAATAGGCAGAGGGTCATTCTGTTGGTAAATTTTATGATTGTCAGCCAGTCATTCTTTTCCTCATGGTTTTGTTCTTGGAAGAGGGAATTGGGATTTGACTGGCAGGCAGTTTTCTTGGTCTGAGAGATAGCTCACACATGTTTTCCACATTAGCCTCATCTCTGCAGTAGGAGGGTTGGGTGCGGTAGGTTTAGGAATTTCAGGAGTCCCTGCAGGGCAAAGGAGGGCAGTTGGAAATCAGGATGAACATGACTTTTCTAATACCAAGGCAAATTAGGAGCTGATGTGAACCACAGCCAATCCCACTGCCAGGGAAGGAGGCAGTGAGTGAGCTCGAATGTCATAGCCCTCTAAATTTAGTGCGTGTCAAGCTTTCTGCAGAAAGAGGCGTGACATAGAAACTCCAGGTTGCAGGGATATGCAGAGCAATGCTCAAACTTGGAAGAAACTCTTTAGTTTAGAGGGAAAATCAAACTCTCTTGACATTTGGAAGGAGGGAGAGGAGGAGGAGGAGGGAAGGGAAGAAGAAATCTGGAACAGAGGTGGAGGCAGTAAGGACAGGCCTGGGCAAATTGGACATGGAGCTTGGAGGGAGACCTCTGGGAAGGAAAGGAGCACAATTGATAGAAACTACCACACATGGCTCTACTGGGCTTCATAGCCTCAGTGCAATTGGCTGGCTTACTCTCTTCACAATGGGAGACCTCGTGGTCAGCGTGCTTGGCAGTGCCTTCTGGAAGCAATCAGAAAGCAGATTTTGTAAGAATAGCATCACCCAAGAGAGCTCAAATTTCCTAAGTGGGGAAACAGCCTCTTGAGGCCTTATTTTTAACCCATATGTGTTCCATGTAGAGATATTCCTGCTGGAACATTTGAGTGAGAGGGCCAGGTGAACAGGAACAAGTAACTACTGGGGACAAATACTGTTTGGGGCTCTGCAAACTTTTCAAAGAAAAGACAGTACTATGCATCTTTTGTGAGGCATTTTTGGTTTGGTTTGGTTTTGGTGAGGAATGACCATAGTTTGTTTTGTTCTCCAGAAAAACAGGACAGATAAAGATAGTGATAGATAGATGTAGAGATAGAAACAGAGGCTATAGAAAGCAGATGATAGAGACAGAAACAAAAAGAAATGGAGAAACAGAGGATAGAAAATAGATGAAGATGATAGATGGATAGATAAATTGATAAAAGATAGATAATAGATGATATCTAGTTAGATAGATGATTAGATAGATAGATAGATAGATAGATAGATAGATAGATAGATAGAAAGAAAAAGTATGATAGATGGAGACACAGACAGAGATGGAAAGGATAGATGGTTGATAGTATCAGTATATGATATAATAGAAGAGATAGATGATAGATGAAGGAATAGGTGGCGAGATTAAGTAGATAGATGATAGGTAGATGATAGATTTACAAGTATAAAGAAAGATAGAGGTGATAGATAAGTTGGTAGGTAGGTAGACACAGAAACCCAGGCAGTTGCAAAGATGATAAATAGATGATAGATACATGGAAGGAAATGGTAAGTAGGTACATAGAATAAATTGATAATAGATGAAAGGATGGATTGATAGATGACAGACAGATGTTAGATTTATTATGGAAATTGACTCACCACAGTGGAAGTCAAGAATTGCCATGATGCCAATCTGCTAGCAAGAGCAGGAAAGCCGGTGGTATAACTAGGTCTGAGGCGAAAAGGCCAAGCACAGGACAGGCACGGTGAACCTCATGGCCTGAGACTGAAGGCTTTCGAAATGGGGCTGGTAGTGTTGGTGTGAGCAGTACTAACCCAAGTCTGAGGATCCAAGGCCTCAAAGGCAGAGAATGGAATATTTGTGGGCAGAACATGCTTGTAAGAGATGCTGTTCCTGACCAGGTCTGGTTTTAGAATTCCTGCAGATGTAGGGCAGGATGGCCTTGGAACGCTCCCTGTGATTTCTGAAGGAGCCCAGATGTGTTTGATTGTTCCATATCTTATTTGCAAGAGATTTCATTTGAAAAGAAGGTTTGGATGCTGTGTCAGTGACTTCTGCATTTGATTGTCAGTAATTCAAACCTTCTCCTGGAAAGTGAACCATAAAGGGACTTGTTTTCACACATACAGGCTTACAAAGCCCAGGGCTGTGGCAGGGAAGGATGCTTCCTCCCCCTCCACTTGGGCTCACTGCCCTCTTCTTATCTATCTCTGGGTGTTGTGTCCAAGCCAGGGAAGCAGTAACAGGGCACAGAGAAGGAGAAATCATTTCTTCTTAATCAGGCCAATCCTTACGGTATGGCCCTCATGTCTCAGAGAGCATAGACAGAGCTGAGTCACAAGCCAACTGGTCCAGGATGTGGCCCCATGGAATAACACTGTAGCAAGTGCCTTAGGCCAGTTTTATTTCACTGTCTGTGTTTAGAGTAGGAACTGTGAGCTTAGGTGAAGGGTTATTTTGCTTAATGATGAGCATCGGAGTTCTGTAAGCCCTTAAAAACAGGGAGGAAGCCTATAGTATAGGTAAGTGTTGGCCACAAACACTTAAAATCTTTAAAAAAAAAAATGAAAAATCAAATACATTTGAATTCCTCCCTCAAATGATTCTTTTCTGTTATAAAAACGTAGGTCCTAAGAGCAGAGAAAGTGTTATTTGCCTAAGGAGCACAGACCTTCCTTACAGTATTGTTCACAAAGATAGTGCTTGTGGGTCTCTGACACTGTGTATGGGTGGAGAGGGAGTGTGCTGTATGCTGGCTCAGTAATGATCCTCAGCCATATTTCAGAACATCCATATGGGTCTTAGTAACAGAGAAACCTTCAGAAACAACTGCCTTTCATGTTTCTCAAGACCCATTACATTTGAAGATTTGAAGAATTCCTATTTCTGAAACTTTCCCAGGAAATTCTTCTGAAGCCAAGTCAGACATGGGTCTACAGAACAGGGTTTGTGAAATCCTGTTTTGCCTGGCTGTCATCTTCTGCAGGAATCCTAGCACAGTATAGGTGACAAAGGCCAGGCACATGGTCAGTGACAGCCTTACTCATGAGGCAGCCTGCGCTGCTGGTTCCCCTCTAAACCTGACTTAGACTGAACCCAATGTGCCTCTGTGTACTGTGGAACCACTGTCTTCCTCCTAGCCTCTGAAGCCACACCTGGGGTGGAGGTAGTATTCAGTATAGAAGTGGGCTTGGGAGATGGAACAAACAGAGCCGTGGACAGAAATCACTAGACAGGTTCCCGGCTACAATATTCTCTGGATCTCAGTTTCAAAGGGTGCTAGATACCTTTCAGGTGATTTCTGCTTCTCAGAACTATGATATTGTATCTCTAAGGTTTTTCCACTTTCTTTGAGAATATATCTTTATCTTCCTTCCCAAGTCTGCACTTCTCACAGTATGTTATC